GTTTTAGATGTGTCCTTGATCCAACACAGCTGATTTAAATGGCTAAATTACCTCCTCAACATGTGTTGAAGTTCAGGGGCCTGGTAATGAACTAATCATTTGATTCAGGTGTGTTGACACAGGGTGAGATCTAAAACCTGCATAACACGGCCCTTGAGGATTGGAGTTTGACACCCCTGGTCTAAACCACCTACAGTTGTTTATATGCTAACCGGTGCTGCTATATTTTTTAGAAAGAAGCTTTCTGTCCTGGGAATTCTTCCAAAAGAGCCACCTGTCCAGTCTTTTTCTATTTCTATTAATTTTAACATGTAACATGCTAACTTAGGCCTTCAGAGTAGCTCATGAGTTTTTGCAAGAGCTTGGAGAGGAACTAGAAGTCTTTGAGTTAGTTGAGCCAATTGTTCTTCCTCTTTGTTAGATAGGCTAGCAAATAAATCTTCTGTGCTAATTTTATTATTTGGCTGAGGTGGAGCCGGCAGAATACCTTGTGAACCCATTTGTGGTTTTCCTGAAATATCCCATTAGAAGGATGCTCTGAGGAGGGCCCAGGGATTTATGGAAGAATTACCACATCCTACCAGGAGCTGATGGAGGTGGTTGGGAAAAGCATTACTTTGTTAAGCCGCATGCCACCATCAACCAGATACAGATAAGCAGTAGCAACATATTTCAGTTCAAACATGTTTTGGTCTATGTGCACACTCCGTCTGTTTTGTCATGCTGCAAGCCCAATTTAGCTACTGCTGACTGATCCGAGCTGAAAGCAGGCTGAGCCCACAGCTTGGTGACACAGGAGCCCATATGTACCAAAGTATCAATGCACTCAGAGTTGAAAAGAGGGAGAGATATCAAAGACGCTTTCCTAATTGGTTGCAACAAATGTAATTATAATCTCTGTAATACCAAAAAGCCTGAGCAGTGGATATAAAAGGCTTTCTCCAGACAGCTTAACTATACAGTTCATCCACAGCCTGAGCCAACAAAATGATGACAGAGGCTGAAAGTCTCCTCTACTTTGGAAGGTCCTTAAATAGCCTAAAAACGCCTAAAGTGGGTATGTTCTTCAATGTTACGAATGAAGGAGAGAAGCTTGGATAATAAACACAGTATTTTGTAAACTTTGGGAATGTGCTCAGTCAGATGATACCAACAGCAGTTTAATGGAGTTTGTTTTGGACGGCAGTCCATACAAAGAATCCTCGGAGAGAAAATTGCTCCCCATGGCAAAGTATTCAAATTCTGGTCCCAATCACAAATTTATAACTTTAGCATACACTCTGCACAAAATACTACACACTCCTCGAGATGTTTTCTATGTTCTGCACGCTATAACTTGCAATACGTGGGACCCATTTGATGCATTACATGATCACTGCTGAGAGGTCCAAACGCTTTCTACCATCCACACTATTAATTCCTCAAAAATCTACTAAGACAATAGAAAAGGTAGTTTACTATGTGCAGTTCCAGCAATAGCTGGGTATAAATATCCTAAGTCCTACCCATCCCTTTCAACTGAAGTTGATAGGCAGCTTGGTTATTAGTAGCTATCAATAATTTGTATGACTGAGTTGGTTGTTGTTACCATTTTAATGAAATATTAGCACAGAAGCTTAGAGAGTCGGAGATTATACAGAGGGGGATTTTGCAACAACCTGAAAAGACTTTGGGAAAAAACATAAAAACCCACCCCTAAAATGTGACAATTTCTTAGACTTCTCCTGAGTGCTGATGTTGCAGTATTGTCTGAGTACTCAGGTATTCAACCCAAGTACAGACCAACTGCAGAAAAAGTGGCTACCTGTGCCAAAACTCTGAGAATAAATAGCCATAGCCTTAGGCTAAATTTATGTGGCTATGTGATGACTATGTCTGTGCAAAGTAACCAACACAGCAGGTATACAGAGCCTTCAGGTTGCAGAGGGATATCCAGTAATGTACTGTGCAATCCTTTCCACTCCATTCTTGTATTTTTATACATCTTTGCATGTACATAATTGTATCTACTGTCTCCAGTACTTTGCATTTGTCTTGTTTGTCATTTTTTTGTTTGATAAAATGACTTCAACACTCATTACACAAGAGAGATTACCTATCGAGTGGAGATAATAAAATTAGTAGGTGGTAAAACACCCATATGCCTATCACAATTATATCAGTATGAGAATATATTGTTTGTTGGCCGACGTTTAAACTGCAGCAGAAATATCATAGACTTTGAGCTCATTATCTAATAATCTACTCACTATGCAACACTCACACTCCTATAAATGGTTCAGTGAAAGTTCAAAAATCCACCTATTAACAGACTCAGGGTTGTAGCACTAATAAAACAATGAGAAGAAAACTAATCTTCAGTAGGCACAGACTCTGTCCTACACACACACACACACACACACACACACACTGCACAAGAAGTAAGGAAAGTAAGGAAAAGCAGCTGATTCTGAGGAATACATGAACTTTTCAATGCACACAAAATAAAGTCTATGTGTGATTACATCCACCTGTATTTTCCTTCAGAAATGACTTAAATGTCCTTGTTCTCCACAGGCAATCACTCTGGACAAAGCCTCTTTTTGCTGCCGGGGATCTCTATGGTGTCCAACAGACAACCTCAGTGTAGTGTGAAGACTCTGGAAGCTCGAATGGTACATGCTAACATGCTCACTTAGTTTGTGCTTTTATGTGACATGAAAAAAAATATTGCAGAACAAGAAGAAGATATCCAAGTATGTCATGGAATTTTAGGAAAACTGTGAAATCATGTATCGTTTCACCACAAGCAAGGCTACCCAAGTGTATCCCACTGAATGGCCAATATCACAGAATCAGAAAAGCTCTGCCAAGTTTTCCATCAGGCAGGAATTTCGCTGATGGTTTGCAGCAATACAGACAGCAAATACACACTTTACACATAGTGTAAAGTCAAGGGGCAAAGATACAGGCAGATAAAAATTCCAGTTAAATAGAAGCACAGCAAAAGGTGTGAACTTGGCTCACATGGAATGTAGAAATGCTGTATGTTTGATGAATGAGGTACTTTTGCAACTTTAACAATAATGATTTAAAGGGCCTCTGGAGTAACTTCTTAAATCCTTGCCAAGTCCAAAGATTAGAAACTATGTTATAAAAATGGGTGCAATAAATACTTTTGTGATAACAGATAACCAGTGGTATTACACAAGCAAAAAGGAAAAGTACATTTGGAAGCTCACTTTAACAAACAGGCAATAAGTAAGAATTTACACAAGAATATCAAATTGACAGCGTTTCTGCCAGTTGATTACAATTATGGTGGAAGTGGTTGCACCATGCAAAACACAAGACTCAGAAATCCGATAGTCAAGGCCAGCAACATCTAGCTCTTAACCTAATGTTACGTAGCCCAACAGCTAGCTTTACAAATATTAGCTCAATGAGCGCTTGATGTAATGGTCCTCTAACTGAGCTTCGCCTCTGAGTTTGGACAGCTAATCCGTTATCTATTTAAATCATTTTTTAAAATTGTACAGTGCAACATTAGCTATTTGTCATAGCTATTTGTCATAGGTGGCCACGAGTGAGATTAGCTAACACTGCTACTACTGCATTTCCATATAAAAAAGTTAGAACAGCTAGCAGTTATTGCTGTGCAAAATATCAACTCACTTTAGTTAGGAGTTACTACAATGGACATCCCGTGCTCTGGGTGCTTATGTAACTGTTTATGTATTTCTCACCAGATTACGCCACAGTCAGCAATGTCCTTTGTTTCCACAAGTAGTCGCTTCGGTCAGTCAGCTCAAAGATGAAGTTTGAATGAAGAATAAGTTCTATAGTGATGCTAGTCTCTTCCTACGTGAAGCGGGTGTTCTGGGCTTCATGAGGCTAGCCTTTGACTAGGCCTTATTGTGTGAGAAACAAAGAACTTGTTTTAAAAGTAATTAATTATTCATTGAGTAGCAGAAAACACGAAGACACACTTGTTTTGTAAGCCCCCCTCCCCTCCTTTATAACTTTCAACCTGCTTATGATAAACACATTTTCCACTTGCTCTGGAAATAAAAAAAAAATCCACTTTTTCCCGAGAATCCTTAATAAAAACTGCTCTCCATTCTGAGACCTGAACACAGCTTAACACCTCCAGGCTATTTTGCAATGCTCTTACACAACATTTAAATCTGGGTCCAGACTTTGCACTGGCTAAACAGTTACATAGCAAACAAATTCTTGCCATGTTTGTGACCGCTTCCAACCAAAACCTTATAAAATGCTTTCATAACTGACAGAAAATGCTCTGCCTTACAAAGAGGCATGATTGTGGTGAACAAATGAAAGAAAGCATGTCATAGTACTTCACCAGTTACGTTGACAGAAGGTCTCTGAACATTACCATTGAACGAAATTACGTCACAAAACCTCTAACATACCTTAATATTCTGAGTGTTTGAATAATAACCACATTCACAGCACAGTCTCAGCTCTCAGTGAGATCATTTTAGATAATATTAAAAATGATAGATAATATTAAAAGACACGCTCATTCTCATAATGTATCAATTGTTACACATTTCCTGGTCCAACGAGACAAACCTGACAAGGAATTCAGTACAGAAAGCAGACAGGATCTGACACACATCACAAACATTCTGTTGAGCGGGAATGAGCAGACACCTGTTATTACCGCAGTGTGCCACATCTCTGTCATAGATAGCAGTGCATATACTTTCATGTATTTTCATGAACTAAAATTGATTTATGCCAAAAACAACCTTTAAGATTAATGGAGTAATGAATAATAATAATAATGATACAAGAAACACAACTCACTCCTAGTCAAGAAATTAACAGCTGACCATTTTGACGTTCGACCTTACAATTCCACGTGCCTACCAGTGTGGGTTTAATTAGAAAAGAAAAAACTAAAAACAACATTTTAAAAAAGAAAGGAAAGTTCAGGGTACATTAAATAAAGTTTAGTACTCACTTAAGTGAGTTTCTGCGCTTTACTGTACCTTGGTGCTTGAGCTGACACTATGCCTCTCGGATCTCTCCGAGGAAGAATCCCCGTTCTCAAGCGGGGCAGGGGTGCCGTTGCTCTGAGTGTCCCCGCGGTCTGAGTCGCTGTCACTGCCTGGTATGGGAATTCCTTCTGTGACGAATTCTTTCCGGCACTGTAGGTTGTGTTTTTTCAGCAGCTCCGAGGTCTCGGGGTCCACCACAATAAGCTCTAAAGCCCCAGAGGTTGCCCGTATCTTGGCGACCACTTGCTGATGACTGTCCCCCTCTACGCTCTCCCCATTCACGAACATCAATCGGTCTCCAGCCAGGAGCCCGGCCTCGGAGGCGGGAGTGTCGGACTCCACGAGCCTGATGAACTGCCCGATCTTGCCCTTCTCTCCGTGCAGGTGGAACCCATACCCGCTGGGTCCTTTCTCCAACACACAAAGCCTGGGTCGAAGTTTTGACATGTTGGCGTTTTGTTAACCAACGAAAACTTTTAGCCCCCCTATTCAAACAACTTTCAAACAGTGAGCTTACGAAAAGAAACTGACACCTGTTGCGCACAGTGACTTTGCTACAGTTCTACTTCCGTTGAACTAAGTCCCAGTGAGATTTCCGTTGCTAATGTTGCCTTTTGACTCGTTTCACAGATCCACCCCTGTGCACTATGTTGCAACGTCTGGGGGTTTTTTTCCGACTCCAACCTAACACGGTCCCGTCTTCAGTGGCGCTACCACGAGTCAAGTTAACGCATTCAAAGGAACATCCGCCATCGGATTTTCAAAATAAAACTCATAGCGTAAACTATTATCATTCTTCATTATTATTATTATTATTATTAATAATAATAATAATAATAATCAGATACATATTTTAGTAGGTAGGGTAATACATTGCATTTTTCAAAGACCAGATAACTGCAAGTATATCTTTAGTCCTTAGAGTGGTTCGTTTTTAGTGAAAAAAACAAAACAAAAAATAAGAGGAATGCTTAAAAAAATAAAATCAAATGTACCTCTAGCAGTCAGCTGGTCAAAGGAAAATACATAATACAGAATGATACTGTTGTTTCCTGTAATACTTTATCTGTACAGTCCAACACACTACCTTAATAAATGTATTATTAAACCTGTATTTTTCTAGTACAGCGACATATCATAATTTTAAAAAGTGGTGTTAGAAAACTGTTACATGTCTTTATACAAATTGAGCATTTTAAATGTTTAGAGTAAATCAGCCTGATTGGATACTTTTACTGTTATATAGCCCATACAATATTCAGTCCAAGGGCGTAGATTTGGTTTTGGCATTGGTGGGGACAGATGATTCAACCACTGAACCCTGCCCTGTTTCTTTTTTTTTCCTTTTAGTCTTTGCTCCTTGATAAAAAAAAAGGAGAAATATACTTGCCTACATATGCTATTCTACCTGCTTTTAAACCATTTAAAATTACAATTCATAGTTTTACATGTGAAATATATAATGTTAAATTACTATTAAACAAATGACTGACTAAGTATTTTAGACTTTAGTTTATTTCACGATATTCCTTATAAATCAGGTGTCATAGAATAATAAAAATAGCTTCAAGTACAGTCATGACAATACACTGTTTGTATTTGGTCGTAAGAGCTGGAGTGGGCAAATTATTTACTTGGAGGTCTTTCTTTCTTTTACCTTTTTTAAAATCAGGTATGTCGGATTTCATGTTTTTGTTTGATCTTATATGTTACGTGTAAATGCATGCTTTATGTTTAATGTAAAAATAAATGCCAGCCCTTTTCTACAATTCCCCTGTGGGAGAGGAGCTGGAGTGGGCAAATTATTTACTTGGAGGTCTTTCTTTCTTTTACCTTTTTTATCAGACACAACGCAGAATCACACCGGTTACACAAACTGCACTACAAGGTGGAATATTTGCAAAATCCTGACTACCTCACGATATATTGTCTCAGAAATTAACCCTATGAATATGTCAGTGCCATTAGGATGAAATTATTGTGTCACCAACATTTTAACGTTAGACATATAATTTTAACAGCTTCTGTAAACTAATATCCTGGCTTGCTTGAGGCTGCCGTTTTCTCTGACAGTTTCATTCAAAATTAGAAACGCTACACTGGGAGACTGAGAGAACTAATAGCGATGCCTGTTGTGCAGTTAGTTTCCAAAACACGTTATTCATGGTTACATACAATTTTAGACTGATGTGGGCCAAAGCCTAGCATAGCCTGTAACGTTATTGTGACGGACACATTTTATGAGTGAACTTGACTTTAAGTGACTTACAGGTTTCTTTGAAACACTTTCTTATATCCAGGTTCTTCGTTTTTGCTGCCTCCTCTCCTCCTGGCAGCGCAGGGTTGCCGCTGCTAAAACTAAACAGAGCTCCCTGAAAGGCACAGCCAATCACATTGGCCATATTTGTCACATGAGGTAGGACTCCAGTAGAGAACGTAATTTAACTCCTTCTGCACCGCTGGGTAAATGAGACGTTGACAAATCGTTTTTCTTTTCCTTCTATCAGTTTTGTTTTTCTTTACTCGAAGAGATCAAATTATTGGCGGTGACAATTCAATAATCGTTGGATATTGGTGGGGACATGTCCCTTCCGTCCATGCCAAATCTACGCCCTTGATTCAGTCACAGTATTTAAAATATAAAAATCATATGGTCTAACCAAACCTCACATAATGTCCAATCAAATTTTAAGAAAATTGTACGATATGAAATTATACATCATATAAAAATTATAAATAAATAATAAATAAGTAAATAATCCATGAAACCTTGCAATATGAGATAAAATGGGACACCCCAAAAATGACCTAGCTTAGTTACTTGAAATGCTTTGACAGCATAAATTCAGATATTTAATAAAATACTATGAGATGAAATTTGGAACAGGATGGTTTCATCACATACTTGACAAGTTTGAAAGTTTATAGTAAGTATCCTACTTTCTCAACAAAATTTCTTCTCTTAAGTCCATCTGCTTAACAGGTGGAGTTTATGTTTCATTTGATCTGGACTGAATTTAGTGAGTAGATTATTTTAGCTGTACTAGAACGGCTACGACGACCGTTAGACAACCCATGCTATTATTTTGAAGGCCAGGCCTACAAACAGGAAATTAGTTTCTTTTTTTTTATTCCTGTTGGGTTTTTACAACTGTGCACCTGCAGTGGATGGTGATTCTGACAAACAGATCAAAGTAATGACGTTAGTTTTTCTAAACTATTTGTTCAGTCCATCTGTCCTTGCTCGTTGTGACTTACTGCAACCAATTACCATCGGGGGGATGGTAATCTCACACACACACACTCACACACGCACTCACACACGCACACCATTGCGGCTATGGTGGTTGTCTGCAGGTAAGAGAGCACCCCTGCAGGTAAAAATTATTTATTTATTTTTATCCAGCATACAGCACATAAAACACACTGCTTCTGGCAGTGGTGTTGTCAAAACAAAACAGCTGCTCAATAGACAAAAAGTCTGCTGACCACAATCTGAATAATCTAGAAGTATATCAAACCTGTCCAAACTTAGTAACACAGCAAACATACACTCATCAAGCAGTAATATTTAAAGAAGAGCATTGTAGACTACTGTCCAAAACAAATGTCACAAAAGCAACCTTTCCTTAATTATTAACTTGTGTTATTTAAAATGTGTAACCTGGAGGGACAGACACAGAGAGAAATACCACTCACTACATCCCCTCTTCTTTACGTAGCAGTTTGGCATTCTTCAGCTCATTATGGTTTTCTGGTCAATAAAAACTTGTACTCCCACTCTTTTATTTCAGATTTCAAAGGTTTTGGTAAAACTCCTGTATGTTCTGTACAGAATGTCTCTAGCTTACAGCGTTAGCAAATAACACAGTGTAGCATTAAGATACATGCAACTGCCAGGAGATGAATGAAAACAGTTTGTTTTCCTCTTCAGAGGAACCAAAAGATGTAATGCAGCTTTAATGCATTGATGTGAAAATTTTGGAGGATCTAAATTCAGCCCTGAGCATTTAAAAACTGATTACCGAAATTTACTGTTCATATTAGTGTATTCTTATACAAAAATAAAAATGGAGGCACTTTCAAATGCATGTTCAGCGTGCATGTGCAACTGAGCTTTTAATTGGCCTGTAGAGCAAATACAAACTGTATAAAGTGCTAAAAACTAATTATTTATTTCAACTGACATATTCATCAGTTGACTTTTTCATTAATTCATTCTTAGAAAAATCTGATTATTCAAAGTACTGCGTATATCTTAAATAAACTGTAATTAGTTTCTCTAAGGCAACAAGTTTGCATAATTTTTTTAAGTACTGTCATCTCATTAGATCTTACAGTGCTGAAATGGTCTCAGTGGAAAGATGGCTGTCAAGAGGCTCTTGTTAAGGAATGGGAACAGGGAGAAAAGGCTTACCTGTGCCAAATTACACAAGAACTTGAGTGAAAATCAGTGCTAACAGGTCTTATGCAGTGATAAATCCAAATTTGGCTCAATGAGTTGCCAGTAGAGGTTGAGTTTCAACAGCCATCTGTAAGTGGAGACCTTTTCATGGTTTGGGGCTGTGTTTCACCCAGTGATGTGTCAAAACTTGATCAAATTACGGATGCAGATAAGTATGGTCAGAATTTGAACTAGCATTCATCTGGCGAGCAGCAGATTGATAATGGCCTAATTCTTCAGCATGACAATGATCCCAAACACACTTTATGTACAATAAAAGCACACCTGGATAGAAAAACAGACAATGGAGCACTTGGTTTGACACCACCCCCCCAAAAAAAAGATGCTGCAACTATTACAAGGGTGACCCAAGACTTTTGCACAGTATAACACCATATAAAATTATTCAACTCATGCTGTATGTACATAACGCTTCCTTAAATAACAGACAACAACTCAAGTACTTA